GTGCCTCACGGCTTCCTGGACGCGCCCCCGTGCGTTGGGTCCACGGCATCCTTCTTTCCCGTTCCTCCGGGCTCTGCTCCTCTGCCAGTTCGTGCACGACGACACCTGGGAGGGACGTTCTGTACGCCCGAAATTCGTACGGAAAGAATGGGTACAATGCCCAACAGCAGTTCCTGTTCATTTTGAACAGGATTCGCTGTCCACGCCGCCGCGGCCTGTGTCCATTCGAGACAGAAGGCCGCCTGCCCAACAGCGGCCGCTGTTAGTTTGGGACAACATTTGTTGTTGGGCACTGTGCCCATTTTTTCCGTACCCATTTCGGGCGTCCAAAGGCGTCCTGAGCGATTTCAGGCGGGCCGCCCCTGCCAAAGTCAGGAGGCCGATCTGCTGAGGTCTCATTGCCTTTCTGTCCGTGCGTACCCCGCCCAGCTGCTGGTCACCATTAGGGGAACAACAAGTGACATAAGCATAAAAACTCGGAGGCCCGCGCGAATTTCTCGGATCGGTGCTGGGGTCCCCCGGCGGCGTCTCCGGCGCCGCCCCTGGCGCGCTCCGCGCGCCAGGGAGGGGGGTCCAGCGCCGATCCGAGAAATCCGCGTGGACCTCCGAGTTTTTATGCTTATGTCATTTGTTGTTCCCCTAACCATGCTCGACGGCACAGCAGGTTTGAGAAGCGCCTCTTCGTGCACGAAGCGCGCCCGGCCTGTGCGCGGGCCGTCCCCCTCGGCGGACGTGCCCGCCGCCCGAGGCACGGCGGAGGCAGTGCCAGCAGACGCCTGTGACCATGCCCACCCCCGGCCCCTCGTTCGCATCTACCCAGGTCGCCAGATTGAGGTTGACTAGGGGAACAAAAAGTGTCATAAACATGAAAACTCGGAGGTCCGCGCGGATTTCTCGGATCCGCGCTGGGGCCGCCTGGCGGCGCCTCCGGCGCCGCCCCTGGCGCGCTCCGGGCGCCAGGGAGGGGGTCCAGCGCGGATCCAAGAAATCCGCGCGGACATTTTTCGTTCCCCTGGTATCTATCCAGGTCGCCAGATTGAGGTTGAAGTAGATGGGGTCGGCGGATCGCGCCGCATCGCCGATGCAGTGGCGATGCGGCTCGACGTGGCCCGATGTTCTCGCGCCGAAGTCGCCGGCGCATCGACCACGTGTCTTCGCTCCGCCTCCGTCCGAGTCCAGCAATCCCTGTATGCCCACGCTGCGACATGAGGAGCAGGCGAGGGCGAGGAGGAGGATACAGTGGAGGCCCATGCCAAGAAACACCCTGCTTGCCCCCAGGAGGAGGATACAGTGGGGGCCCATGCCAAGAAACACCCTGCTTGCCTCCAGGGTGCCCTGGGGTTTCGATGGTTCTGCTATGGAAAGCGTGACGCTCCCCCACCACAGATCAGTGGACGTCTTGGGGTCTCAGGGTTGTGTTTCCTGTGAAAGGTTTCTTGTGGACTCGCCTCCGCTGTAAGGGTTCTGCCTCGCTTCGCGGCCGCTCCCGGCGCCCTCGCCTGCAAGCCGCCGCCTCGGGCGTGGCCTCGAGCCTGGCCCGCGGACGCGAGGACACGCTGCAGTTCGGTGCGGCCACCGTGAAGAACCAGTCCTTCATCATCGTGGAGGATATCTTCCTCCTCCTCCTCCTCGTCCATGCCACGCTCCTCCTGACCTCCTCCTCCTCCTCCTCCTCCTCCTCCAGAATCCGTCCTTCATATGAAGCGCAAGAAGCCAATGTTTCCGCCTTTGGCTATCAGCTTTGCGGGGCCGGAGGGGCTGCAAGCTCACGCGATGCTTCGTCAAGGGCTGTTGTTTCTGCTCGGGAAACGTTGCACGGCAATTCGATAAAGGGTTCCATGCGCAACTAACGGCTCAAGCGTCCATCCTTCCATCATCGTGGACGACTTCCTGGCCGCTCCCCGCTCGGTTCTCGGGGAGGAGGAGGAGGGGGATGGGGGAGGAGGAGGAGGAGGAGGAGGAGGAGGAGGAGGAGGAGGAGGAGGAGGAGGAGGAGGAGGAGGAGGAGGAGGAGGAGGAGAGGACGAGGAGGAGGAGGAGGAGGAGGAGAGGAGGAGGAGGAGGAGAGGAGGAGGACGAGGACGAGGAGGAGGAGGAGGAGGAGGAGGAGGAGGAGGAGGAGGAGGAGGAGGAGGAGGAGGATCGTAGAGAACCCGTCCTCCGTGATGGTGGAGGACTTCCTGGCGGCTTCCCGCTCGGTTTCGGGCTGCGGGCCCGCCCACCCCGGGGCTCCTTTCGCGGGGGCGCGAGAAGGCCAACCTTCGCCTCGCGCTTCCGTGGCCTGCGCTGGGGATGAGGAGGAAGAGGAGGATGAGGAGGAAGAGGAGGAGGAGGAGGAGGAGGAGGAGGAGGAGGAGGAGGAGGAGAAAGTAGAGGAGGAGGGGGAGGAAGAGGATGAGGATGAGCAGGAGGATGAGGAGGATGAGGAGGATGAGCAGGAGGAGGAGGAGGAGGAGGAGGAGGAGGAGGAGGAGGAGGAGGAGGATGAGGAGGAGGAGGAGGAGGATGAGGAGGAGGAGGAGGATCGTAGAGAACCAGTCTGTTGTGATGGTGGAGGACTTCCTGGCGGCTCCCCGGCCCGCCCAGCGTAGGGCACCTCTGCAGGAACGCGAGACGGCCATCCTGCGTCTCGCGCTTCCGTGGCCTGGGCCGGGGCGCTGTCCTCCCCCAGGAGGCGGCGCACGCGGGCGAGGCCGCTGCGCGACGCGCGGCGCGAAGCCCTCGCGGAGCGCGGTGCGATGCGGGAGAAGCCCACGCGCCGCGCGCAGGAGCACGAGGCCGAGGGCGAGCCCTCGCGCTCCGCGCCGAGCGGCGCGCGAGGGCACGGCGCCCAGTCGCGTCCTCCGCCGCCGGTGCCCATCTTTCCCTCGTAGTTCTCCTCTCGCGGGCATGCCCGCCCAGCGCTCCGCAGCAGCCCGCCCCCGCCCTTTGCCGCCCCGCGGCGCGGCGCCGCTCCGATTCTCGGTTCTCGCTTCCTGCCCGGCGGCCCGCGACCCGCGTGGGCCAGAGGCCTTCTCGGGAGGGCCTCGCGGGGGGCCCCGCGGAGGCCTGGCGCCGCTGCGCCCAGGCGGGCGCGCGTGCGGACATCACAGGAGCGCGAGTGCACGTTCCAGGGAACGTCACAGGAGCGCGAGGGTACGAACATTCACGTCACAGGAACATCACAGGTACGCGAATCTTGGCCCCTTGTGCCGACCCCCCACGGCCTCCGAGACGGCCCAAGATGCCCGCAATCAGGCCTGAGGACTGGGAGCATGGGCAGTCCTGGAACGGCCGTTTCGCGTGAAGCGCCCTCCAACTACTGAGACTTCGACGGGGCTGTTCCGGCAGGGGTTCAATATATGGTCCAAGAGGATCCAAATTAATAGCTCAAGGACAGCCCAACGAGCGGTCTCATACGCATCAAACTATATCTCAGGCACCAGGAGTGTCCGTGATGCCTCGACTGGACTCCAAAAGGCATCGGTAAACGAGAGGGAGGAAAGATCTCTATGAGTTTGATGATGGGGATTGGCGAGTAGAAGCGAGGGTTAGTTGGGAATCTGAATGATGATGAGCGTGGTAAGTGATGCGACAGTGAGCGAGGAGAAGGAGGAGGAGGAAGAGGATGAGGTTGAGGAGGAGGAAGGAGGAGGAGGAGGAAGAGGAGGATGAAGAGGAGGAGGAGGAAGGAGGAACGAGGGAGATGACCGAGGAGGGGGAGGGCACCGAGGAGGAGGAGGAGGAGGACGAGCGAGCAGGAGGAGTGATGAAGCGCTGTCAGGATGGGGAGAAGTAGAAATTAGAGCTGAGGGCCAATGAAGATGAAGAGGAGGAGCCGGAGTGGATTTCGGAGACGCTGCGGCTCAAGACGCCGCTTGTTGCGACAGAGTGAGTAATGACGAAACCAAGGAATCCTACATCGGCAAAGGTGGAGAGGTTGAGAACATGCCTACCGCAACAACAGGTAGACTTCGATCGAGTCGCTGCGACAGGGCGAGAAATAACCTTCGGGTAAGCAGCCGCCACGGAACTAGCATGAGAAAATCGAGTACGCGCGACAGTGCGATACGACTGCCCACCGCGAAACCATTCACGCTTAGTCCGAGTCGCTGCGACACGGTGATCAATGCCCGCTGCGAAATTTCGTACACTTTACCTGAGTAATACTGTTAGGGTGAGTGCATTCCCTCACGTCTGTACGGACTCTCATGCAGCGACTGGTTGGGAAGCGCCCGCCGCGAAAGCACGTATACACATATCACTTCGCGATGGTAGGGTAAGCCATGCCTGGAATTCAACCATGTTACTTTAATCTACTGGATACGACAGCGTGGGCCAGGCCTGCAACGAATACGCGTATCCTTCACTTTGATTCGAGTGTCTTCGACAGGGTGATACAAGCATTCGATCGTCGAGATGAGCGGTTAGGAAGTGGAGGAGGAGGAGGAGGAGGAGGAGGAGGAGGAGGAGGAGGAGGGGCGATGCTAAGCAGGGGAAAGGACACATGGAACGGCTGCGACAGGGCGAGAAACGCGCACCGCGAACGCATACATGGACCTACATCGGTCGTGACAATATGAGGCATGCATTCCGCAACTCGTTTGGACAGCGGGCGCTTCGCGTGAGGCGTCCTCTCACAATCGAGACTTCGACGGATGGTGCTTTAGCGAGCTTGTCGTTTGGGATCCAAAGAGGGGGTCTCAGATGGTTCAAGAGGGCTCCAAGAGGGCCACATGAGATTCTAAACAGGGCCCCAGGCTTCGTGAGAAATGATCCCCACGCGGCTGTTTCGTGTGAGACATCCTCTTACAACGGAGACTTGGATGGAGCTATTGATCAAAGCTTGTCTCTTGTCTCTTGGGAGGGTCTAAGATGGCTCAAGAGGACTCCACGCGGGCCCCACGAGAGCATAAGCAGGGCCCCAGGACGCACCCACTATGGTCCAGCACGGCCGTTTCGCGCGAGACATTCGCCCCACATGGAGATTCCGAAGGATTTGTCTCTCAAAACTCGCCTCTTGGTCTGCAAGGAGGGCCTAAGATGCCTCGAGAGGGCTCCAGGAGAGCCTCAAGAGAGCCCTCATAGGGCCCCAGGATGTCTCCAATATGATCTAATGACAGACTTCTTCTCTTGAGCATGCAAATTTGGCTCCAAAGGTGTAACATGTGGCCCAAAAGGGCCTCTTGAGAGCCAACACGCCAGCACAGAGCTCGGTTGAATATGCCAGACGGGTTGACACGACGGCAGGTCCACGCAACCTAGGTGCCCCCAAATGGAGTTTGGAGAAGCGATGATAAGCATCAGGCGGAGCGAGGCGGGTTAGGATGTCACGGACAAGCGACGATGAGGAAGAGGAAGACACGCGGGAGAGGAGTTCAGAGGAGGACGAGAGGGTATGAAGACAGACGAGTAGTGAGGAGAAGCAGCCATGATGCGAACAGAACAACTGGAGGACGAGGTGGACCTGGAAAAGGGTGAGAAGCGTGGGAATGACACCAGGAAACACCACTACGCAGCAGCAAGCAGCAAGCAAACGCGAGCAGCACTAAGCAACACCGAACAGCATCAAGCAGCCGCGAGCGACGGCAATCGGCAGCATCAGGAGCAAGGGCTTAAGCAGCCTCGCTTCCGAGGCGTCTGGAAAAATCATGCGACAAGCCCCAGGAGCGAGTCATTTCTGGGCGCTCAGGAGCCTAATAATTCCAGAGGGGAGCACGTAGAATTTGCAAATCAGAGAAATCGCTCGAAGGGATGTGGTGATACTCAACTCAGGGCCTCGCGGCACGGCGGCAGTTTGCGAAGGCTTTACGGCCAGTACGGCGGCGGCGGCGACGACGACGCTGACGTGGGCCCGAGTCCTCAGGGATGCTTCTTGGGGTCTCTTGGTAAGACTCTCAGGGACCTCTTGGGAGGACGTTTTGGGTCTCTTGGGAGCCTCGATCTTCAGGGCCTCGTCGGCCGTCTCGGAGCGGCGGGAAGCGGAAAAGGCGAGAACGCCCCAATCTGTCAAAACCCCAAGGGAAATCAATGCTTCTTGCCTCTTGTGGCCCTCTCGGGAGTGCCTTTGGAGGTCTCTTTGGGCGTTTTGGAGGACTCCTGGGCAGGCTGGGAGCGTGAAGGCATTTTGGACCGATCGTTCGGCGATTGGGTGCCCTCTTGGACCGTCTTTGTGGGCCTCTTGGGGTATCCTTGGCCTGTTTTGATATTTTGTGCAGCCCTGGGACCCCCAGGGGGGATACGCATCTGACCTCCCCCCGGGCCCCCCCCCGACCGGGGAGGGATCAAAGGGAAGGGGCTTCCCTTCGATTCGATTACGGCATTGAGATGTTATTCTCTCGCTGACAGGTTTGAGGAGGTGCAGGGAAAGGGGGCGACGCAGACGACGACCGACGGAGACGACGACTCAAACAGACAAACCCCCTCGCACACGCCGACGGGGTCGGCGGATTTGCCCACTAGCTGGTTCAGTGTGGAGAGATATGGTACAGAGTATTTTCTTTTCGACGTCAATGTGTGTGTGTGTGTGTGACTCGCAAGCACACTCGCAACGTGAACGTTCGCAGCATGGCAATGCAAGCCATGTGTGTGTGTGTGTGTGTGTGCAGTCTGTGCCCTAGCCGCCCAGCGTTTCTCACGAGTGAGGCGCTGAGCATGCACCAGATAATGAAGCACAACTTGAGATGCCCTGCCCATTTATATGTAAACGAATCGGCCACGTGTCCAGTGTGTAAAACGAACTTTACGCAACGCCTGAGATGTATCGCTCACATCTCGGACTCGAGACGGATCGCGTGTTGGGATCAGCTCATGCGTATCGCTCTCCCGCCGGTTTCCGTTCAAAGAGTCGAAGAGTTCGACTTAGTTGATCGTGCCGCTCGCAAGGCCGCCAAACGGAAGGGGCATACCCACCCTCTTGCTGTTGGCGTTTACATGTGCAGGCATGTGTACAGACTTTGCACGCATGTGAGTTGCACGTCATCCTTAACTGTACTGCGCTGCTGTTCACATGGATGTAAAGTGACATTTGCGAATACATCTCTACTCCTCATCCCTCTGCCCACGATGTTCTAGCCCCAATCTCCCTACTTCGTCTGTTCGTCCCCAGCCTCGTCCGCCTCCTCCTCATCCCCCTCCTCCTTCTCCGCCTTGTCCTCATCGTCTTCGTCCTCATCCCATTCCTGTGGCCCCTCCTGCTTGTCCTGCTTCGGACGCCCGGTTCATGTAGCCTTATTATCTGCGCCCGCTGCGCCTGACGCTCCCGGCCAAACTGCCCAATCGCTTCCTCGCCCCCTCCCACGCCCCGATAGCATCGGCCGTCTGCTACGCGCGCCGTATTCCCTCCTCCGCCCCCTGGCCCCTTGCCCCCCCCTCCCACCCCACCCCACTTTGGGTCGGAGGTGGATAGAGCTCCTACCCTGACACGTCGATTGGTGAATGGGCCGTTTTCGGTTCGCGAGAGGGCGTCGCGGCCGTCATTTTTGCGGGTCCAGGTCTGTCGGTTTCGGTCCCAGGCCGTTTTCACTAAGGAAGGGGAGGTGTACTAAAGGGAGGTTTGTCCACCGCCGATTGGGGTTCCCGAAGGACCCCCTCGCGCCCCGCGCCTGCCTGCGTCCTCTCGGATGCTTCTGGACCTGGGCTTTCACCACCGGCTGCAGCCACCACCCCGCGCCCTTCGTGCGCCGCCGCTCGGCCATTCCCAGAATGCGACGCCCCGTCTTTCTCACAGCGTGGGTTCCTGTCCCTCTCTGTCTCTATCCTCCCTCTGTCTCTCTCTCTCTCTATCTCTCCTTTCTCTCACTCCTCTCTCTCCTTTTCCAGCGGGATCTCTCTGTCTCTCTCTCTCTCTTTCTGCCCAGCTGCCGGCGGCAAGTCCCGCCACGTACCAGCCCAGCATTCTTGGGGCGGGATTGCAGGCCTCTTGTGCCGTCTTCGGTTGACGGAAGCTTGGACACGTGAGAATCCAACAAGCGATGAAACATTTACGAACAATTACACCAGAAGAAAATCCCAATCATTGGATGGTTTGGGAAAGAGTGATATGGATATTGAGATCGATCGTGAGATCGCTAGTGCAATCGATATTATGTCCCTATCATTAAATCCAATCGTGCGACCGTTAGTGAAGTCGATTCAGTGAGATCGATCGTGAGATTTCTTGTCGGTCAGTGAGATCGATAGTGATATCGGTTGTTAGATCGATGCTGAGGCTGGTTGTGATATCGACAGTGATAGAAAGATGGTAATGATATCGTTGGTGAGACAACGATATGGCGATCGACCTGGTACCCAGGAATCCGGAAACCTGGGAACTCCGTCGCCCACCGAAATCGGCCCATCACCAGCAATTGGGAACCGAGGAACCCGGAACCGGGAACCCGGAACCTGGCCGCCTACCGAAATCGGCCGGTCATTTTCGCAAAATGTTTCAACATCCGCTTGGACCCTTTAAGTGCAAGCCCTAATTGGGGAACAATGTGTTTTTGCCTCTTCGGGCCCTCCGGGTCTTCCTCTTGGAGCCCTCTCAAGCCGTCATTGGGGCCTTTGCGAGCTACCATGTAGCCATCTTGGGCAGTCGTGGGGCTATCTTGGGCCCTCTTGGAGCAATCTTTGGCCATCATGGGAGGCTTCTTGATCCTTTTTGAGTGCCTGTGTGGCTGTCCTGGGCATTCAGGGAGCTTTGGCGATCATCCCAGAAACGTGGGAATCCAAACATCAATGAAAACCCTCAAGAAAACCATTGGTTTTTGCTTCCCCGGGCTCCCCAGAAGCTCTTCTTGGGGCCTTCTGGAGCCGTCATGCGGCCTCTTTGGGCTTATCCTGGGCCGTCACGGGGCCATGCGGGGCCCCTTGGAGCCAGCTCCAGCCGTCTTGGAGCCATCCTGACCCATCTTGGCGGCCGTGATGTCTTTCCTGTTTCCTGGGCCGTCTTGGAAGACTCCGGGAGCCCCAGGGAAGCGCCATGGCCGCCCAGGATCCCTCGGGAGGGAGGGCGGTGCACGCGCCGCTCTGGGACGAGAGGGGGGGTCCCTTAGAAGATGGAAACCTGCCAGACAGCACTTGGCATTCCTCCACGCCTCAATGTACCAGGAAGCACGGTGACGGATCGCTCAAGCGGGAAGAGGATGAGGACGAGGATGAGGATGAGTGTTAGCATGATGTTGTTGTTGTTGTTGATGGTGATGATGATGATGATGATGATGATGATGATGATGATGATGATGATGATTATGATGATACTGACGCTGATGATGATGCTGATGATGATGCTGCTGATGATGATATTGTTGATCATGATGATGATGATGCTGCTGCTGATGATGATGATGCTAATGCTGATGATGTTGATGATGAGGATGATGATTATGATGATGCCGATGCTGATGCTTATGCTGATGCTGACGCTGCTGATGCTGCTGCTGATGCTGATGCTGTTGATGCTGATGATGCTGATGCTGACGATGATGAGCATGATGGTAATGATGATGCTGCTGCTGCTGCTGATGATGATGATGATGATGATGATGATGATGATTAGGAGGATAATGCTGCTGCTGCTGATGATGATGACCCTGATGATGCTGATGATGATGCCGATGCTGATGCTGATGCTGACGCTGCTGATGCTGCTGATGCTGCTGATGATGCTAATGCTGATGATGCTGATGATGATGCTGGCGATGATGATGCTGATGATGATGATGATGCTGATGATGTTGTTGATGATGAGATTGATGATGATGAGGATGATAATGTGATGCTGATGGTGCTGCTGCTGCTGCTGATGATGATGATGATGATGAGGAGGAGGAGGAGGAGGAGAAGAAGGATGAGGAGGATGAGGACGTAGCTGCTGCTGATCAGGATGCTGCTGATGATGCTGCTGATGCTGATGCTGATGATGCTGATGATGATGCTGATGATGATGATGATGATGATGCTGATGATGATGATGATGCTGATGCTGCTGCTGATGCTGCTGCTGATGATGCTGCTGATGATGATGCTGATGAGGATGCTGAGGACGATGAGGATGATGATGATGGTGCTGATGATGCTGATGATGCTGATGATGCTGCTGATGCTGATGATGATGGTGATGATGATGCTGGCGATGATGATGCTGCTGATGCTGATGATGATGATGAGGTGGAGGAGGAGGAGGAGGAGGAGGAGACGAAGGATGAGGAGGAGGAGGACGTAGCTGCTGCTGATCAGGATGCTGCTGATGATGCTGCTGATGCTGATGCTGATGATGCTGATGATGATGCTGATGATGATGATGATGCTGATGCTGCTGCTGCTGATGATGCTGATGATGCTGCTGATGATGATGCTGATGAGGATGCTGAGGACGATGAGGATGATGATGATGGTGCTGATGATGCTGATGATGCTGATGATGCTGCTGATGCTGATGATGATGGTGATGATGATGGTGGTGATGATGATGCTGCTGATGCTGATGCTGATGATGAGGTGGAGGAGGAGGAGGAGGAGGAGGAGGAGGAGGAGGAGGAGGAACAGGGGGAAGGGGTGGAGCTGGAGGGTTCATCCCCCCTCAGGACGCAGCCCTGCCGCCTCGGCGGGAGTGGGACGGCATATGTGGCCTGGGGTGGCGCAGGCTGGCGCAGGCGCTGGGGCTCGTCGTCGTAGTCGTCGTCGTCGTCGTCGTCGTCGTCGTCGTCGTCGTCCTCGTCGTCGTCTTCCTCGTCGTCGTATTCGTCGTCGTCGTCGTCATTGTCGTCGTCGTCGTCGTCGTCGTCGTCGGCTGCGGCGGCGGCGGCGGCGACGGCGGCGTCGTCGTCGATGGCGGCAGCGTCGTCGTCTTTGTCGGCGGTGGCGTCGCCGTCGCCGTCGCAGAGGGAGGGGATGAGGAGGAGGAGGGAGGGGGGAGGAGGGAGGGGGGATGAGGATGAGGATGAGGATGGCGATGACGGAGAGGAGGAGGACCAGTGTAAGTCCAAGACGCATCAACGATGTTGCAAGAACAACTATCCCTCCACTATCCCTCTTCTTAGTCCCTACAACGATTTGTTTTCACTTTTGGGAGAGATCCGCTGCAAGACAAGCGTCTGATAATTCTCAGCCGTACCAACACATCACCCCTTGGATTTAAACGCCGCGAATCAGCTGTATTGCTGCGTCTTTACGATCCTTAACCGTACCAGGACACCCTTTCCGAGACTGCAACACCGCGACACAACGTGACTGCTGCGCCCTGACAACCTTACAAGCCGTGCTGGAACACAATTCCTGGGCCGGCAGAACAGAACATCCGTCAAATTGTTTTGACGTTTCACAGCGATTGTGCGCGGTGGTCAGGCGAGGGACGCATTTTGAGCACGAGCCGTTCTCCATCTGTTGAATTGATGCAGCCGTTTGAGACGAATGTGCGCAGCGCTAAGGCGATTGCCACAGTTAGAAAATGAGCCACCCTCCATCCATCAAGTTCCTGCGAAATTTAAAGACGAATGTGCGCGGCGCTAAGGCGACAACCACATGTTTGAAATCCAGCCGCCCTCTATATGTGTGAGGCCAATTTGCGCGGCGCTACGGCGAGAACAACATTTTGAACATGACCCGCCCTTCATCCGTGAAACTGTTGCACGCTTTACGACGCATGTTCGCGGCGCCATGGCGTTACTCATATGTACAAACGGAGCCGCACTCCATCCGTTCAGTTTTTGCACAGTCTTCAAACGAGTGTGCGCGGCGCCCAGGCCAGCGCCGCATTTCGAACATCACCCGCCCTCAACCTGTGAACTTGTTGCAAAGTCTTTCACGCTTCGTGTATCCCCACCAGCCGCAGGCAGCTTAGGCAGCCCGCCCGCTTAGTTTGCCTCGGCCGCGCGTGTAATTAGATCGGCCCGCGGCCCGGACCTTTCACCACGGCGCCTGCGCTTTCGCTTGCGCCCGCGAGGAAAAAAGTGTATCCCCACCAGTCCATCCGAACACCCTGCCCATCCGAGTCGACGGGAAGCAGCACGAGGGGGCACATGCAGGGAACCAGAGCGGACAACCGGGGGGAGCAGAGAGGTCTTTGGGAGCAGAGGTGTTGCCTTGGAGGGCCTCGTCGGGCCATCCCTGGGGCCCGCGGCGGGGCGAGGGAAGGAGGAGGAGGAGGAGGAGCAGGAGGAGGAGGAGGATTAGGAGGAATAATAATAATAATAACAGTAATAATAATACTAATAATAATAATACTAATAATAATCATAATCATCATAATCATCATGATGCGGCGACGACGTCGACCACGACGGCCAGGAAGAGGAGAACAAGGAAACGGAAGACGATGAGGGCAAGGACGAGGACGAGGTCGAGCAGGAGGACAACGAGGACGATGACAGAGCCCACATAATCGTCTCTGGGAGTCATCTTGGGGCTCTTTTGGGGCTCTTTTGGGCACTCTCTTGGGGCCCTCTTGGGGCTCTCTTGGAGCCCTCTTGGTGGTCTCTTCCTGGAGGGCCTTTTGGGGCCATCTTGGAGGCCATCGATCAAACAGGGGAGGGGGTCCTTGATGTGCCTTGCCACGCTGGGGCCATCAAACTCGCCTCTTGGGGCCCTCTTGGGGCGCTCTCGGGGCGCTCTTTGGCACTCTTAGGGCCTTGTGGGGTGCCTCTTGGGATTCTCCTGGGCCCCTTTTGGGCCATCTCGAGGCCACTTTGTTGCTTAAAAACGCATCGGAAGCGAACCGGTGAGAAGGCACACATCATTGATTGATTTCCTTGCTTATGGCTTTTGAAGGCTGTTGGCCTCTTGGGGTGGTCCTCAAGGGGGCTCCGAGAGCGCTGGAAACCCTCTTGTGGCCCTCGTCGGGTCGCCTGGAGGTATGTCGGAAGCCATCTTTTGAACCACTGTCGGCCATCTTGAGCCGTCCGGGAAGCCATCTTGGAGCACTGGAGGCCCTCTTGGAGCCATCTTGGGCGCCCTGGCACGCCGCCCCCCCCCCAACAAAAAAGCCGCAGGGAGAGGGAGCGGGGGAGGGCACCCCTCCCCGAAGGGGCGAGGGCTTGTGGAAGAGGGGAGGAACACGTCGTTGGCCCACCTTGGCCGCGCGGGCTGGTGGGATTTTACCTTCCGGGGTCCTGCGTCGCGAGAGAGTCTCGGGCGACGCGCCCGCCTGGTCCTACCGACACGTCTCGGGGTGCGACAGGGACGGAGTTCTCTGGTTGAGGGAAAGGGATGGCAGAGGAACAGGAGGAAAAGGATGTGGAGGAAGGGAAGAGCCCCGTTGGAAGACAGCCGGTTGAAAATCCTCAACCGTGCCAAAGCACTGGTTCTGGAGCCTCAGCGCGGCGAATGAACGCTGCTGTTGCGATCTGGCGATCCTGAATCGTGCCAGAACGCCATCTCGGGTCGTCAACACCGCAGATCAACGTGACTATCGCGCCCTGTCAAAGCACCATCTCTGGGACATCATCCATAATAATCCTTGAAATTGTTGAAACTGGCAAGACGAAGGTGCGCGGAGCTATGGTGAGAGCCACATTTTTGAAAAGGAACCGCCATCCATTGGTGAAAGTTGTGAGAATTTTTAACATCGTATGCGCGGCGCTATGGCGAGGACCACATTTGAAAAGGAACCGACCTCCATCCGTGAAGCTCTTGCAAATTTGAAGACTCACACTTGCGCGGCGCTGAGGCGAGAGCCACTTTTTGAAAAACGACCCGCCCTCCAACCGTGAAGCTCTTGCCAATTTTCATGCTCCAGGGTCACAAGTGGTGAGGCAGTCTCAGGGGAAACGCCAAGCCCGCCCTACCGACACGTCACAGGGTACGACAGGGATAATTTGTTTGCAAGGAAGAGGGATGTACAGGTATAGATCGAGGTCGATTCGCGGAGGGTACCCCAGTGTTCTTCGTGCTTGTTGGACGTTGGACCCTTGGATGTTCTTTGCGTTTTGGTCGGCGGAGGGTCTCATGTTCTCGAAGGGTGTTCTTCTGGCTTGGGTCCGGCTGTAGGAGCGCACGGGTTGCTGCTGCATGCAGCTGGTTTCGGCCCCACCGCCGGGCCCAGTCTTCGATACATGGGCGCCTCCCGGCGCCAGGAGGCGCCGGGAAATCAGTTACGTGAGCTGATTCGCCAACCCCCCCCTTTGCTATCCCCCCGTTCGTGCGACCCGAGGAAAGGGGTTCAGGAGCACACCGGCCGAAGGTGCAGAAGCCCCTCCCGTCGTACATCCCAGGCTTGGGCTCAAAATTTGTGGTCCATTCATTCGAAAACCTCCCGGAGCCTGGGATACAGTCACCCCGCAGAGTAAGGATGGGCAACCTTCCCAAGGCTACCCTTGCATCCTTGCCCAGTCGGCCCATTCTTGGCCACTTTCGAGTGCCGCGCCCCGCGCGCAGAGCTTCGACGTGGCCTTCCAAGGCTCTTGAAATCCTTATCGTGCATCCTTACTACACGGGTTGACTGCAGGGGCCGATCTATCCACGGTTACCTTTAAGTCGGGCACGTTCCTCTATAGGAGGAGGTCCAATAACAAATAACTAGTCTGGATAATATTCTTCGTTTGTTTTTGTTGGTGTCAATTTTCGAGTATTTCAGACTATTTTTCACTGTTCGTCCACAATTCGGGCCGGACGAAAGGGGGGCATTGGGAAAGGGGGGGTTGCGAAATTTGCTGCATGCAGCTGGTTTCGGCCCCACCGAGGGGCCCATTCCTCGATGCATGGGCGCCTCCCGGCGCCGGGAGGCGCCGCGAAAATCAGCTGCGTGAGCTGATTCTCGAACCCCCCCCTTTGCTATCCCCCCCCTTTCGCCCGGCCCGAAAAGTCCCCCTGGCTAGGACCTCGTGCCCGACCCGAGGTTACCTCCTGCCCCTCCCGTCGGAGCGCGTGAGAGAATGCGCGTGCGAGAATGCGAGAAGGCTTGCGGCAGCCCGCACAGGGCGCGCCTCCGCGCACGCCGCTCCTGTCCTGTCCTGTCCTGTCCCTCCCGTCGGAGCGCGCCGGCCGAAGGTCCAGAAGCCGCTGTACCAGATGCTGCAGGAGCAGGGCCAGAAGGCGGGGCGCGCCGCCCGCCTCGCAGTGGGCGCCCCCCCGGGAGGGCGCCGCGGCGCGTCGCGGCGCCTCGGGGCACCGCGGCAGGGCTCGTTTCGATGCCTCGGGCTCGGTGCGGTTGGGTTCGAGTTCGGTCGCTTCCGATGCCATGTTCTTTCGATCCGGCTTCGGGTCCCGATGTCGTCGGCTCCGACTTTTTCCACGGAGGCCTAGTAAAGAACTGCCGATTTCCGCCGGTCTGACTTTTCCCGATGCGGCTGCCGATTTCCGCCGATGCGACTGATCTCGATCGCCGATCCGACTCGTCGATTCGATTCTGGGCTCTCCTGCATCGGGGAAGGGAGGGATCGGTCGGCGGCGAGCGAGGGGGGGAAATGAGAAGGAGAAGGCCTTCTCAGAAGGCGGCGGGACTTCTCAGAAGCCATCACGCCTTCTGAGAATTTTTTTTCTGTCTCCGGGGAAGGCTTTAAAAACTTCTCAGACGGCCGGGGAATTCCCGAACCATCTGAGAAGGCCTTCTCCTTCTCACTTCCCCCCTCGCTCTTGGGGCAAGCCGACATCGGGTAAGCCGACCTGCGCGTCAGAGGTGGAAGGAGCCACCTGGTGAGTGAATGTAAAAGATATCCTCGCCGACCGCACCTTCCGCGCTTCTTGGGATGCCGCCCTCTTCGGCGACGGGGGCTCCCGGTCAGGGTCGGTCGGTCCTGGGCGCGGGGCGCTCGGTGCCGCGCAGGCCTCCAGAAGCCGCCCCGGCTCCCCGTGCTCTTCTGTCCCCTCGCGGGCTGGCTTGGCTCCTTCCGGGCCTCCGTGGTGTTGCAGCTCGGCGGCGAGCGAGGGGGGGAAGTGCGAGGGCGAGGGCCCTCTAAGAAGCCCTCTGGCCTCTTGGGTCTTCGGGGAAGGCTCAAGATCAGGAGGGAAAAAACACACAGACACAATTCATCGTCGACCCCCCAGAAAATATGGGAAAATATGGGAAGTGGGGGGGAAGACAAAAACCCAGAAAATATTGGAAAATATGGGGACTCTTTTTATTTGTGTGTATTTATTTGTGTGCACTGGGGCCCCTTCACGAGAAGCTTTTTCAGAAGGCCGGGCGACTCCCGAGCCTGCGGACGGGGCCCGCCCCTCCTCACTTCCCCCCCCCCCCGGGCGCGCCGCGGAGGGCCGGCTTGGTTCCTTCGGGGCACCCCGGGTGTCGTTGGTTTCGCAGCATCCTTCGGCCGAGCCCTGCCCCAACCCTCCTCTGCATCCCGGGCCCGACGAGCTCAGCGCCCCACTAACTAGGGGATGTACCCCTCGCGATCCGACGGGAAAAGCCCGTATCCCAAGCTCGGGGTGCAGATCGGCCAGTGGGGCCCAGGCCGCGCCCATGGGGATATGGGTCGGTTGAGCGGTGCTCATTTCTGGCCCCTTGTGGGTCTGCTTGGTTCCTTCAGGGCACCCCTGGTCGCTCTTGGCCTGCCTGGTACCTCTCGGTGGGTGCATCTTGCGCCCTCCTGTCTGCCCATGCCTTCTCGTGTCAGGAGCGCGGCCTCCTTTCCCCCGCGACCCCTCTGCCTCCCGCCGCATCTCTTCGGTGCGCGTCGTCTCGGAGGCGCCCCTCCGCAGCTCGCTCGGGCGCTGCCGGAGTCAAGCGGCTGCAGGCCAGCTCACGTCGGCCTCTCCTCGCCCGCCTCCGGCACCTCCCGAGGTGCTCTCTTGCGCGCTGCGGTCGCCCCGGCCGTCCGCGGCCCTCTGTCCCCGGATGTCCAGCCGCTCCAGCCTCCTCGGTGCGCGGGCCCCCGGGAGGTCTGGACCACTTCCCCCGGGGCCCGAGCTTGGTCCGGGAGGCCTTCTCTGACGCTCTCGGGGCCCGTGGGTAGAGGGGAGCGAAGACTGACAGAAGCGTAACACGATTCGGAGGTCCGCGCGGATTTCTCGGATCCGCGCTGGACCCCCCCTGGCGCGCGGAGCGCGCCAGGGGAGCGCCGGAGCGTGCCAGGGGCGGCGCCAGGGGCGGCGCCGGAGGCGCCGCCAGGGGGGTCCAGCGCGGATCCGCGAAATTCCGCGCGGAGTGCCAAACGTTTATGTTTATGCCATTTTTTCTCCCTCCAGTTGAGGGCCCCGCGGAGGCCGAAAGCGACTCAAACTTGCCGCTCCTATGTTGTGCTCGGGGCCTCGGGCCCCTGGGCCCCCCCTTGCCCTCACGGCCTCCCCTCTCCCGCGTGCCTTGCTCGCTTCCGAGCCGTAAGTCGGGCATGTCCCTCAACAGGAAGACTATTCAAGAATAGTCAAACATAGTCTGGAGACGGTTTTTCGTGTTTTTATCATCATTCATATTTTGGTTGACAATGTTATATATACATATACATGTATCTATATAGATATATATACATATATATATATATATATATATCCAACATCCGCCTACAGGAGGACATATCCGACCTAATCGCAGCCGACCGCCTGCTGGCGTTCTAGTTTCCGCACGTCCTCTTCCCCTCTTTCCCGGGGGTCGACCAGGGCTCGCTTCCGTTGACTAATCGTTTTCGTTGCGGGGCCCACCGTTGGCCAACCGCGACATCGGATTTGCTTCAAAACGCCGTTTGTGTAATCTGCCGGACAGCTTCCGTTTCAGCACATCGAGACGATAACGAAGCGAGAATGCAACACGTTGTTTTGGTCGACCCTTCTATGGTAGGTTCGCGTCGTGTCGAGAGGTGGTGACCCCGTCACCAGCCTTCAGCGTTGAAGGCCGCCGGCGACCCAGAACCATTCAAGGTTGATCGATCCCCGCTGCGTCAGGAACCAACGCCGAAGTCGGCACGACACGAACCTGCCGTGTCCTCTTTCTCTCCTCCTCCCCCTCCTCCTCCTCATCCTCCTCCTACTGCTCCCCTCCTCCTCCTCCTCCTCCTCCTCCTCCTTCTCCTCCTCCTCCTCCTCCTCCTCGTCCTCGTCTTTCTCCTCCTCCTCATCCTCCTCCTTCTCCCCTCCTCCTCCTCCTCCTCCTCCTCCTCCTCCTCCTCATACTCCTCCTCCTCCTCCTCCTCCCTCCTCCTCCTCCTCTCCTCCTCCTCCTCCTCCTCCTCCTCCTCCTCCTCCTCCTCCCCCCCCTCCTCTCTTCCCCCCCATCTGCCCGCCCAGGCCGTGTTCGCCATGGTTCTCGAGGGCCTCACAGCAAACCGCGCGGACGTCTTCGCCAGCCCAGAGCCACGACAGGGGGGGGGGGGGGGCGTTGTAAGGCACTGCGGTCGGTCACGCTAGTACGTAGCACCCTGCACTTGCGGATGCGAGGAAGGGTGCGGCGGCGCTCTCGCCGAAAGCCTTCGCCCAGGACCCCGCGCCCCTGTCTCCCCGCCCAGGACCCCGTCCAGGACCCCCCTCCGTTGAGCAGAAGCGGGCCCACAACGGCCGCGCACGCCCAGGGATGAAGCAAGACCGCTCGGGCACCCTCAATCTGAACGTGCCCAGTGCTTGATTTGCCACGCAGAAAAGTTAGCAGTTTTTCCTGCTCCAGCGGCACCACCCGAACATACGAGATATGTGCGTCGGCCACGCACGGGCGACGGGCACGCTCGCTAATCTTCTGGTGCGAGCTCCGTGGTGGGCGCTTTCTGGCCGCACCGCTCGTGAAGCTATGTCTTGCACGATGTTGTATTCTACGTTCGGGTCGGACGTGTGCCTCCAACAGAGAGACAACGTACTAGTGTGTCCTTGTGCGTCTCACTCCAGGCCGCTCTGGGAGACGGGGTTCGTACCATGGCCACTCTTGCTCAAGTCGCAAACGCGGCCAGGGACGCTCTTGCAGCGCCCCGCGCCGCGGAGTTTGGGGGGCCTCCATCGAGGCCAGGCTCCACAGTTCAGCCTGGACGACCGATTGTCCGCGGCCCAGTGGATTGCCTGCGACCCCGCGAGGCTGCCGATCCTGGGTTGCCAGTTCGCCACCCCTCTTCGATGCACAGAGATGGTCGTCTCCATGGGGCACCACACCCAGTGTGCTGCACCGTGACGCTGAGCCGCTACTGCGTGCCAGAACTCCACCCGGGGCTGTGGGTCGCTCACGGCCTCCGCTGTGCAGATGAACTGGGCTGCCTGAAGGGCTCGATCTGCTCAGACGGCCGCGCGTCCACGGCGCAGACGGCGCCGGCTTGACAGCCCGGGAACAAGGAGGACCGCTGCCAGATGCTCGACTTCATCTCAGGGCTGGGTCCCGCAGACGTGTCGGCGGACGGCCATCGGGCGTGAGTCATCAGCACGTCACCGCCCCTCGCCTGCGAGCCTGACTGTTCCGCATACAGTCGGGGCGCTGAAGAAGGAACCCTTTTTGTTCGGGAGGGGCTCAGTGTTCCTTAGTCGTTCTACAGTTCGCCTTTGGTATGCCTCTGGCTTTCGATGGGAAATCGAAGCTTAACTTATGGAAGAAAGGGGCCTCGCTCCTCATTTGGGGTTCCTTAGGTCAACGCCTCGACTGTGCGCTGGCTGCCTCGATGACCCCCTCTGTCGGCGAGGCGGCGCCCTCGCGCCCGACTGCTGCCGCAGGCCGAGCAGCTGCGCGGGGCTGCAGGCCGTCCACGACCCCAGAGGCGCTTCGAGCGAGGGCCCCCCTTGCCGCTCTGGCCGCGCGCCCCCAAATGCAGATCCCAGGGGCCTCCATCCCCAGCGACGTGGCTCATGGCTGCAAGGTGTCTTCGTGCCTCACCAGAGCTCACCACCCACCAAACCACCCCAACCCAACCCGAAGGCTCAAATTTACCCTCGATTTCCAGTGGGGGGGGAATCGGGAAACGTCGAACAAACACATGTGGAACCCTTACCCCCCCCCCCAACCCGAAATTCGGGTCTTCGGGTTGGGTTTGGGTGGTCTGGTAGGTCGTCAAGCGCCGCCTCTCACCAGGAGGGGGCGATCTCGAGAGCCGGCCCCCGCGGGCGTGGCAGCCCCTCCTGAGAGCTGGGCGGGCACCGCGGCCCGAGCACCTCTCTGCGCGGCCACGGCCTGCCGACGGCGCCAGTGGCTCCGCAGGCCCGGGCCGTGT